AGATAGATAGACACAGATAGAGATAGATAGACACAGATAGAGATAGATAGAGATAGATAGACAGACAGATACATAGACATAGATATAGAAGGAGAGATAGAAAGACTGGGCGCTTTACGCTCTCTCAGGAGTGGCAGCGGCTGTCGCCTTTGGCACATATGGTGTGAGATCAGCCGCATAGCTTGGAGAGAAGACAGGGACCGAAACCGCCGCTACTTGCGTTCTGGGAGCATCTCAGGTGACTTTCAACGTGGGATCTCAAGCCCAGCTGGCCACCTTCTCCAGAGGTGGCCGTGGTTTCGGAGCAGAATTGTGTGAAATTGTCAGAACAGTTACAACCCAAGAGGTGAGGGGTACCTATCAAAAAGAACATTGATTTGCATCAGGAAAATTGATGTTGCATCAACCTTTGATTGCATCAAGAAACAAAGTCAAGGAACACATTGGTCTCCTGGTTCCCTGCCCCTTGGTGCCCTGCTTGCTTGGTCCTTTGGTTTCTTGGTCCACTGGTCCTTTTGGTCCTGTGGTTCGCTGTTGCTTTTTTCCTTTGTGCAAGCTTGGCGGTCACATGGTTCACTGTTTTTACCCTCCGCTAGGGCGGGGCTCGAGCTTCTTGTGGAAAACAGGCGTTTGACCTTTTTGGCCCGTAGGTGGGCCCGGTTTGCGCTGTGGGTAGCGCTCTGCATGGTCAGCGGAGCTACTTCCTGGTGATCTTGGAGACCCTGGCGGTGGCGATCCTGACGGTGGAGGATGCCGCAGGAAGACATCCTAGCCTGGGATGGCGGTCCTGCAAACTTCGCCACCAGCTGTCGGTGGTACGAGTGTTCGGTCAATCAAGGACACGGAGAAGAAGCTGGGGCACCGAGGATCTGGTAGCGCTTGGCTGGCGCCGCAAAGAGCGTGGTGAAGCACTTGGACCCCAAAGGCTTCGCCACAGAATCGGGCCTCCGGAAGCTCCTGACGGTCCTCAGAGAGAGCCCTCTCCAGAAGCTGCCGGTGCCGGACAGAGGGGTGGACTGGGATGAGACATACCGCAACTACTGGCTCGAGAAGAAGAACTCTTTCTGGAGCTCCATCAAGCCTTGAAGCGAGCACGACATGAAAGGCGAGAGGCCGAGATGAGGTCCATGGCGGTTGGCGTGAGTGAGCATGACCCCTCAGCTTCACCTACACGGTCTCCGAACGTGGCAGGAGGAAAAGGTGGCCGCATGACGGATGAGGAGCAAGCTGAGCCGAGCTTTGAGGAAGCCCCTACGTCTTCAGGGATGGACAACACCGGCTTCTTCGAGAACGAGCTTCGCGGCTACAGGCTTCTAAAAGCCTCCAAGCTCACTGCGGCTGAACGCCAACACGTGCTGACCCTCACCAAGAACAGCGCGCACTTCACCCTCATCCGCCAAGCTCTGAGGTCTCTCTTCGCTGAGACTGATGGTGTGGAGGATCATCCAAGACCTCGGAAGACCATCTGATTCGAGGAGCCCTACGAGGAGAGCAACCGGGATGGTGCGAAGAAACACAATGGCCGGCTGCTGAGGCCTACTGGTCAGACTGGCCAGGTGCTGACTCTTGAGAGGACTATGAGCTTGGGCTACAAGACTGAGGACCTCTACAGTGAGACGCCTGAGAATGACAGGACAACCAGCTGAGCCCTTGGAGGAGGAGCAGTGGCTTGAGGAAGGCGAACAAGACCTTGGCCGAGGCCACTGGTTCTGGCAAGGGCAAGGGAAAGCCCCCTGGTGGAAAGGGCAAGGGCGCTTCGTCATTTGGCCCCTGCTTCATCTGTGGTCAGACTGGCCATGGATATCAGAAATGTCCAGATCGATGGTCTCGAGGTGGCAAGTCTTCACCTATGTCATCGCCGAGCTCAAAGGGATCTTCCTTTGGCAGCGGCAAGGGATCTGGATGTCCCAACGGCAAAGCTCTTTGAGAATGAGGACTTGTATGGCCAAGGAGTCGCAAAGGCAGTGCTGGACACCGGAGCAACGGAGTCGGTGGCAGGTGTGGAATTCATGCCCGATGCTCTGGAGGACAGGCCTCGGTTCCGCTTTGGGAACGGTGCCAAACAACGAACGGGCAGTGTCCAAGATGCTGCAACCCGTGGGAGAACTGTTGGCCACTGTATCACCTCAGGTGGACATCATGTCAAGGAACCCCAAAGCTGGCATGGGTCTCAATGGCCTGCGCCCGACTTTCTGCGCTACAGAACTTGACTCCAAGGACTCCTGAACAGATGGACAAGTTCTTCAAGCGTCGAGGCCGAGATCTGAAGAGATGCGATGAGATCGCTGAAGCGCTTGAACCCGTGTGCTGGCAGCTGGCAATGACTTTGCATGGGAGTGGCCAACCACGGCTACTGCAGGCTGGAAGTCAAGAGCCATCAAAAGACTCTAGCTCTCCTAAAGAACTGGGTTGGGCCTGTCCGCATGGTCCTCATGGAAGGCTCCACCGCGTGGCTTTGCTCGGGCGCAACGCTCATTATAGACCCAAGGTGAATCAAATTTGCCCTGTTTCTTCACGGGAGCAGTTGGACGCCACGCTTGAGGGTACGGCTGTGTACTGAACTCCCATTTCGGTTGAATCCTTGATGAGGATGCTACTACCTTGATGTGGCAGGTGATGTTCCATCCGAGGAGCGGCAGAGATCCAACCTGGCTCCAGCAAATGTTCTGGCTGAGCCCTCTGGCGGACAGGCTACATCAAGAAGGTGTGGAGGATCATGATCATCCAAGGCCTTGGAAGACCATCTGGTTCGAGGAGCCCTACGAGGAGAGCAACCGGGATGGTGCGAAGAGACACAATGGCCGGCTGCTGAGGCCTACTGGTCAGACTGGCCAGGTGCTGACTCTTGGGAGGACTATGAGCTTCGACTACAAGACTGAGGACCTCTACAGTGAGACGCCTGAGAATGACAGGACAACCAGCTGAGCCCTTGGAGGAGGAGCAGTGGCTTGAGGAAGCCTATGCGTTGGCCACCGAGGCGAACAAGACCCTGGTCGAGGCCACTGGTTCTGGCAAGGGCAAGGGAAAGCCGCCTGGAGAAATGGCGTACGATCACGAAGTCGACGGAGGTGAAGGTGCACCAGGAGACACCGAATCACCCGAACCAGCTGGTCTTCAAGCCCAAGAAGTAAACTTTTGAGGAATCGGTTGGGGAAAGCTTTGGTAATGCATTGCTGCATGTTTGGTTTTGGAAAAAGGGTTGATGGTGTGTGTATATCATTACTATTACGACTATTATCGTCTATTGGCCCATGTGTTAACGAAGGGTTGCTCAATAACTTCTACACATTGTTTGTGTAAAAACTGGTGGTTTGGGGCTGAACACGTGATGCAACAGCGCAAGGAACAATTCTTTCATCCTGGACCGCATTTGTGAATGAGATTGCAAGGCTGCAGTCATACCGATGAGTTTTCCAAGGTGCTAGATCGACCTTTGAAGGAACGTCTGCGCAATAGCTCACAAAAGCGTAAAATCACAAAAGGTTCATCCGTGGGTCATGCGGTGGCTGTGCACTGGTGCGCACTGTCGCGTCTCGGCGTGGCAACTGTATATAGCTTTGGATCCGGCTCGTATTGAAGCATCAAGTGCAAATGACTGTTCAACCCATGCTGCATATATGTTATTGTATATTTTTTTCAATCCTCGACCTGTCGCCTGGCCGGAGGTTGCTCCTGGCGACACTAGAGGATTGAAACCCATGGTGGTAGTTCCATGACGATTATAGTTCCATGACGATTCAACAATCGAAACGCCAGAAAGGAGCTGCTCTTGGCAAATTAGAAGGTTTGACGCACGCTTTATAGAATTAGAAGGTCGACAGAATCAATCGATCTTAAATAGTTCACATTGAATGCGATGCAGTCAGAATCGAGCACTTCAACTTTCCACATACTTCCACTTTTTGTTGGATATATATATATAGCGCTCGTCCCTGCAAACGACGTTCAGCGCGTCGGTATGTGGGGATGGCGAAGAGCGGAGGGATGGCAAAAGCAACTGCAGGTTGCCGGCACTACTTGGAAACAGAGGGTTTGGCCTTCCAGCTAAACATCAAGTGCGTCCACATAGGTGTGCACCGATCGAACAGGGGCGGCATGGGCGTGGACCTGCACCATATGCACGAGTTAATGCAAACCATTTGCCAGATGGGCTATGTAGAGCAGGGCATAGGTGCAAGGGTCTGCCTGGAGCTGGACTCGTCGC